ACCCGGGATCCTGTTGAGCGTCACCCAGAAGTGCTCGTCGGGGCTGTAGGTGTCCTCGGACCATGCCAGCAGATCGATGGCGCGCTGGTCCTGCAGCACAAACTCCACAAAGGGCCGGGTGACAGCCACGTATGCGGAACCAAAGTAGATGGTGATGTTGTGGGGCGGGGGTGCCTTGCGCACAGGTGTCCACAACATGAAAGAAAATAAAGGGTATATTTTCTCCCTGTGCACATATTTGGTGCGGGTGGTGATGTGGGGGGGCGGCAGCACCCCGGGGGTGATGTTCTTCCCCCCGAGGCCCTTCAGCAGCTGGACGATCTCCCGGTTGGTCTTCAAGGGGAAGTCCTGGCCGCAGGCGTTGAGCAGGTAGCGCCAGGGCACGGCCGAGGCCAGCAGGTCTCTCATGCAGTGGAGGTCGGCCCGCAGGCGGGAGGCACCACCGTAGACCACCCGCTCCGCCCGGGAGGCGAGGAAGGCGTTGGGGAAGCAGCCCACCAGGCGCCGCACCGCCTGCTGGAAGGGGGCCGGCGCCTTGGTGTCCACGTGGACGCAGTAGATGTTTTGGGGCATGTACACTGCCCTGAAGAGCCGCTCAAAGGTCTCGAACTCCTTGTGCAGGGTCATGACGTAGGCGATGGGGAAGGCGGCCTCCTCGTCCGAGAGGGCGCGGGTGATGTAGTGGTTCTGCGTGATGTACTCCGTGCAGTTGGAGTCTCTGAATGTTGTTTTTAAAGCATTTTCCTTCAGAAAGGGCTCCTTATCTTCAATGAGCGCTTTACAGGCTTCTGCTAAAGTTGAACCCACCGAGAAGTTCAGTCTCCTGAGAGATATTTGTGCATGCAAATTAACAGCATAGAAAACAAATGGCAGTGAGACACTGAGAATCAGGACAGCGAAGAAGCAATATCTGAGTGTATTCATTGCTGCTCAGAGAAAGAGTCTCACTTGAAATATAGCAGAGATCAGATCAGACACCACAAACAGCTTGCTTTGCTGGTTGCACTTGCTTTCTGCTGGAGAACGCATGCGCCCGTCTGAGGCTGTTGTTCTTACTTTCAATATTAATAGTTTCATAGTCATCGTTGATGTGGAAGCAGCATAAGTAGCTGGAAGCTGCTCCACAGCACCTTGAATATTAAACAGGCACATTGCACAATTACTGGTTTGGCAATGAACAGCAAGCACTACAGATTTCAGTGTCCCCGAATTCAATTTATGTGTACGATCTTAACTGCTCCCTCCCCCCTCTCCCTGCATGTATCATATAGCTGTAAAATTTCCTGTGCCAGCACCCTGTAACAGGAAAACCTCAGGTTTGTCCTCTTTCATCATTCTATTATTTTACTTATAGGAGCTTGTTTTGAACCACCCAAGTTTATCAGTCATTGCTGCTTCAGAATTACGAAAGCGTACCGTGCTACCGTGTAAGGCCACCAACACTCACATATAAGAAGCAAGAGAGTCTTTTTCCCTCTGCTTAGAATTATATCAGAGCCATCAGGCTTTTGCAGCAATGTTTTCTTCATTTGTAAATTTGAAATCTGCCAAATAGTTTCTGCTAAGTGTCACGAGGGCTTACATCCATCACAAGGAACTGGGTTAGTGAAACCTGCTCTTTAAATTGTTTAAGCTAACCTTGGGCTTTCTGATGACACATTCTTGTTTCTAAGAGCCATGCATGCTTTTGCTATAACAACGTGTTTATGCAATAAGAGCTTCTGGCGTGGCTCTGACTAAAGTGAAATACTTGGTAACTCTCTCTCTTCCAACTCTGAGTCTATTCCATGTGGATCTGCTGCCATGAGCCAGCATGTTTGGAACATATAAACTTTTTCCATCATCATGTCACTTTGCTCCAACATGAAATAATGCTGAGGCAGTATCAGATGATCTGAGATTATACCCGTAAGTGTTTTGACTGGGCAGTCCAGTGTGCTACAAAAGCAGAAATACCATCACTTACCCCCCCAGCTTGTGCAGACAAGCCACCTCAGGCACTGTCAGGTCCCTCACAGAAGCTGCACTTTCCTCCCATCCTGGCCCCAAACACTCTCTAGGAGTCTCTGTTCAAACAGGTGGAAGGCTGCAAGCAGTGGCTTCAACCCATCAGGTACAGTCATGAGCTGTAATGAGGAGAGGAGCAGTGGAGAAACTTTGTGAGGACTTGTGGCTAGACTGTCCCCTGGGAGGGGCACTGGTGCAGGACACACCTGGCAGCCAGGCTTGCCGGGTGAGCAGCTTCTCACCAGGGTGTCAGCAGGGACAGGTGGGGACAGCTGTGGTCGCACTGGAGATCCAGTGCGGCCTTCTTGGTGGACACCGGTGCTTTCAGAGGGAGGACGGCTCTGGTGGAGCCAAGGGGCTGGAACAGGGGTGTTCACAGTCCCAGGGAGTAACAGAGACTGGCCTGACGCTGCTGAGAAGTCATCTGGAAAATGCTGCCACAGACCAACAGCACAGGGGCCTCAGAGAGATGAGCAGATGCTGAGCTGAGACCACTGTCCAAGTCCAGCAAAGAAATACACAGCAACCACCACTGTGAAGGGAAAACACGTCCCAGCCCAGTGACCACCAAATGCTGTCCTGAGGTGCACAGATATGCCCAGAGAGCTTCAAACTCACTGCTCCTTCCTCATTTGATTGCTACAGTGAATTATATCCAGGAGCAAACAACAAATTACATCCAGGTGAGCCTGACACCTCGGGAACGCAAACCACCGTCACCACAGATGATGATAAAGCCAGCAGCCTCTTGCTCTCCTCTGTGCACTCCACAGACCATTTCGTCCAACGCCTTCCCACCTGCTCACTGGGCCAGCTGGCTGCGAAACCATTTCTTCCCCTATGCCATGGTCTTGACGTGAGACCTCCATCCAGCTGGAGTCAGGAAAATGTGGAAGGAGGAAAACTGGGGGC